GATAATGATTTAATTTTTAGAAATCTCTCACAGTCATGCCCAGCCATTTGGCTTTTAGCTAATTTCAGATATAGTCATGTTCACAACCACAAACAGCCAACATATTTTCCCTCCCCCTGCCCCTCCCCCACCTATTTTCTCATTTTCAGTTTTGTGGATTTGTGTGTGTGTGTGTGTGTGAGAGAGAGAGAGAGGGAGGGAGGGAGATGTATGAAGCCAGAGGTTGACAATGGGTATCTTCTTCAGTTGTTCTCCGCCTCAGATTTCGAGGCAGGATCTCTCACCACACCCGGAGCTCATTGTTTTGGCTGGGTTGGCAGCTGATGGTGAATTTCAGAGATCCTCCCAGCACTGGGGCCGCAGGGGTGTGCTGTTGGGCTCAGCTTTTGTATGTGGTTAGCACTCAGGTCTCACACTAGCATGTCAAGCAGTTTACTGAGTCACCTTCACCGTCTTTTGAAATTTTTAAGTTTTTTTTAAAAAACAATGCTACATTCTTTTGAGATGTTCTAAATAAATCAAGTCTCTCCCTCACAGGTCCCAAGGCACTTAGTTCTGGGAGAAGCACTACTATTTCAAATCACCTTTCTGGCTGCACTATGGCCAGATAGGTGCCTTTCAGGATGTTTCCAGGAACCTTTCCAGAAGGGCAAGAAAACAAAATGAATTTCAGTGTTTCCTCCCTCCCTTTCTCTGTGCAGATGAGGATCTCAGATTAAATATTCAATTGGGACAACAAAGGAACTTTGAAGAAGAACCCTGGACTTTTGGAGAGACTTGCAAAGTTGTCATTGCTACACTCCGTGGTCCCTTTAAAACAAGTCACAGGATATTAGAGGGAGGAGCCCACAGAATCTCCAATAGCTATTGCATAGTCTGCTCTCCCAGGATGAGCCAGCAATGTCTCAACAGTACAGGGTGAGACAAGAGAGAGAGAGAGAGAGAGCTGGGGGAACTTCCAAAGTGAGTCAGTCCCAGGAATGGGTTTCTTCTGCCAGCGATGGCAGATTTCAAAGGTCTCCACAGAGCTACACATTTGTGGGTAATTTTGATGAAAATACAAATTCAAGGAACCCTATCATGTGGAACCATCTGCTGATGAACACATTTTAATCACTTAGTAGATCGTTTCCTTTGTGTTGAGAGGGCACATAAGTGCATTCCCATCAACCCATAGCAGTCATTTTTCTACTACATTCTTATTTGCTTGACCCAGAACTCTCATGTACCAATGATTAGATCACCTTCCCCGGGCAGACACATCCTGCCCCCTCCTCTTTCCTTCGTCCAATGTGCCTCATACTCAGACTGTGGGTCATCAGCTATGCTCAGACGCCAGCTCCAATGCCTGACTTTTTTGTTTGTTCGGTTTGGTTTGGTTTTTTGCCAGTAAGTGTTGAAAAGCAGGGACTTTGTGAGACAAAGAGTTCTCTACACTCTCTCATGATTTGCTTGCCTCACTCCTTTCAAAAAGTCTTGTTCCTCTGAGCAAGCATTTGCTGACTCACCCAGAGAGTTCACAACTTCCAGGAAGTTGGGTTGGCAAAAGGCTCTGGCTAAAGAGCCAAGACAATTGTTTTCCCATTATTCCATTACCAGCTGGCAGACAGGATGCATAACCCAAATAGGAATTGCTCCTTCCACATGAAGTCATGGGGACCACCGGGAGATGGCCCAGTTCTCTTACAACCTGGACATCTCTAAGGATTCCCGGTGTTGCCTGGTCCAGGCTCTGGAATCTTTCCTTAGAAACCCCTCAGCCATCTGCATGTTGCATTTCTGAAAAGTTGTCTCTGTGCTGGACCCAAAATACCCTCAGATGCAAATAAACCACAGTCAGAGAAGAATTTGCTTATTGAAGTTACTGTGACAAAGTCTAGTTAGAATTTTTAAATCCCCCAGAGCCTTTCCTGAGGGCTGAGTTTAAGAAAATTACTCAGCAATTGAAGGCTAGTTCCTGAGAGACAGGGAAGGATGGCTGTTTTAATTCTGCAGGCCTTGATTTCCATACCGATCATAACATTCTATATTTCTGCTATTCCTACGTGACAGAAGAGAAACTCACAGTGTCAGATTCGTTTGCCAGCATTAAAAGAATTTGTACAATAAGAAAATAAGTTCAACAGGAAACCAAATTTTGATTTTCCGCCTTGTCCTGAGCCAGCCCATACAGAGCGAATGTTACCCTATACCAGATATCAGCCCATATTCCTACCTGGTTCCTCACTCTGGGATCTTAGCTAACAACTGCCCTTGAAAACACTTTTCAGTGCTGTTTAATGTAAGGTTGACTCTTCCTTCTTTATATTGAGGACTCAGCAGAAGGTTTGCAGTGAAGGTGAGTGTTTTATGAACTCTTAAAAGTTGCTTCCATCTAGTATTCGCTTTCTAAAATGTTAGCTGAGACAAACCCACCTCCCTAAATACCACTAAACAGTCTGGAAACAGCTGGGCCCTGAATTTGGATGCAAGGGAAAAGCTTCACAAATACTCTGGAGATGCTAAAGAAAAGTAAGGACAGATGTCATGGGATCTTCATCCAAGAAAAACTGTCCTTAAGTACCATAGATTTTACTTAAAATGCATATTTTAAGAAAGCTATTAAGCTGTACACCGGAATTCACTGGAGCACCTGGTAGCCGCCCTAACAGTATAAAAAAGCAATTGCAACATTGGGGAGTTGCTCTGAAATGGTCCCCAAGGTGACAGCAACATGGAGGGGCTGCATAAGTTCACAAGAAGCCAGGAGCTTAGGAAGCAGATGCAGGATGATCAGAGTTCAAGGCCAGCCTCTGCTGCAATGTAGCCTGGGATACACTGAACTCAAAAAACAAACAAACAAACAAACAAACAAAACCCAGCCAATCAAATTTTTCTTTTTCAAAAGTGTTTTGCATTTGTTTGCTTATTGCTTCTGTTTTTGTGTGTTTGTGTTCATGTGCCTGCCGTGGTTCACATGAGGAAGTCCAAAGAACAACCTGTGGGAGTTAGCTCCCCCCCTTCTCGTCGGTGGGCACCTCCGGAAAGTGCCTCTACCCTAAGGACTCACTTTCCCAGCCCCCAACCAAACTTTATGGTGAGACTTCCGGCTTACAGACTGACCAGCCCAATTGCCGTTAAAGCTAAGCATAAAATGGCCTTTTAGAGCATCCCACTGCCAAGCCCGCTCAACCAACTCATGGGCCATGTGCTCTTCCTCCCACCTCTGTGCATGCCAGGAAACACTCATGGTATGTTTGCTCTGGGGCGGGCACTCTTCCACACACTCCACTCACATCCACTTCATTTCCGCAGCAACTGCATGAAGAAAGCCCCGTACTTACTTACATCTGGCAGTTAAGGAAACTGAGGCAAGGCTAAACAACTGACTGTGCCAAGTCTCCGTTATATTTTCCTCTCTCACCTCTGAATCCACCTTTTTTTTTTTTTTTTTTTTGTCTGCTCAGTTAAAATGGATCCCAACCCTTTGTCTATTCGCCCTTAGGCTGCTGGGCAATGCTAAATTTTGTCAGTAGGGGTCGCTGGAGAGATACAGCTCAGCAGGCTTCTGGACCAGGCCCTGCAAAGCATGCAGATCTCCCCCCTACCCCCTGACTGCTGCTGTAGCAGAGGGGCGCTGCCTTGCACATCCTCAGAGCAGGTTCCCAGCAAGTCTGGCAGGGTGGACTTTCAGCCAGTTTTACGGGTATGGCAGTACAAAACATTTTCCATCATCTACTGAGCCACACCTGGATACTTCCGGCACAGCTCCTTTGTTTCTGTGGCTGCTTGGGCTCTTCAGAGCTGCCTCTACTTCTATATGGTTAATAACTCAGTACATTAAACGTTCCTGGATTACCATGTGGTTTCTCCCCTGGCTGGATGCTGAGTAGCATCTCTGTCTAAGGCCGTGGACCAAGAACAGCAGTGGCATCCCAGAGCCTCTGCTCCTAGGTTGCTTCCTCTGAATAGGACAGACATAAGGAAACACAGGGAAGATTCTAGTCAATGGAGATGGCGTGCCAACAGCATGGGAAAGCATACCAAATTGAGTTGTGTCTCCATAAGCCTATGGTTTTTGTTGTTTGTTTTGTTGGTTTTTTCAAGGCAGGGTTTCTCTGTGTAGCCCTGGCCATTCTGGAACTTGCTTTGTAGTCCAGGCTGGCCCCAAATTCAGAGATCTGTCCACCTCTGCTTCCCAAGTGCTGGGATTAGTGTCTGCTTATTTGCCTTTTTTTTTTTTTTTTTTAATGTAGTTCAATGTCCAGAGAGGCTGGAACAGGGTAGATCTTTGGGGCTCAGTGTCAGGTAAGCCTAACCTATTTAGCAAGTTCCAGGTCAAGTGAGACATACCGTCTCAAAAATAAATAAATAAATAAATAAATGTTTTAAATGGACAATGCCTAAACTCTGATACTTAAGATTGCCCTTTGTCCTCTCCAAGTAAACACACTTGTACTCACACATACCTGTACCTGAACAGGCGAGCACACATATTTGTATATACACATACACATGGTGAGAACAGATATACACAAAGGAAGGAAGGAAGGAAGGAAGGAAGTGGGGAGGGAGGGAGGTGCTGACTCTGCTGAAGGGCACAGCAGGGACAGGACAGTGTTAGGAGAGAGCCCAGAGGTAGAAGTTTTAAGCCTGACAACAGATACATAAAAGTTAGTGCTCCAGAAGAGGGGACAACTGCGACCGACCCTGGGAGAGGGAGGAAGGGAGTAACATTACGACAGGGACAAGAGCATCACCAGACTCCTGCACCATTCTCTGAACCTTCATTGGCAGGCTCCTATATGCTGCCTGGGAAGTCATCCCTGCTTCTTTTGCACCACCTTCTGAGAGGCAATAACCCCCCCCACTACCCCCAAGGCATCTGGACGCACAGGGCTCTCATGGTGGCCAGAGGTAGAGGAGAAGGAGACACGATGTCACCCTGAGGTTGTAGCAGGTATTATCGTACTGATCAAAATACATGACAGAGAAGGACTGAATTTCAAATAACTGTTTTTATTTCCATTTTCATTGCAAAAACTAATTTGTTCTTAACTCCACAAATACATATTTATGAAGAATGCTTGAAAGAATAAATAAGAGTGGGTACCGCTAGGCCATTTGATCAAGATAACGTCTCATGTGTGGGTGGTGAAAAGACTGATGTCTTCGCTCAGTCATTCTCCTGGCTCCCACAGAAACAGGTGCTTCGGCTACCAAATGCTGGCACTGAGGGTGGGGTGGGAGAGGGGCAGAGGGGCTCTTCTGCTTGTTCTAAGCTCTGCCTCTTCATCTGTCCATTTTGAAGTCAGCCCCCGGTACTCCAGGATACATATGCTAAACAAACTTTGACTCATGCTTTGGATTTCAGAACTGTCAGCCATTGGTCTGGGAGTTAAAATGTGATAGATTTTTGCTTCTCAATTTTTCGAACACCCCCCCCCCCAAAAAAAAAAATCCCAAACATCTAAGCACACTTGAATATATAAAGATATCCTGGTTGGGTGGAAATGGTATAATAAAAACTTCAGAAGCAATGGGTAAAATTCACAAGCAAAAGTAATGGAAGAGACCAAGTCTAGTAGGTTCCAAGGGGGTTGAAGTCCCAGCAACGGACTACTGATCTATTGTCTCCGGAAGTGTTGCTTTTGTTTGTTTGGGTCATTCAGAAAGTGACATTTCCTTTATGGGAAAAATAAATCAGAAGTAAAGTAAAAGTATCTTTCATGTGTGAAGATAGTGTTAGAAGTTTAATGATTCATCCAGCATCGTCAGAAGTCTTCCCAGATCCAGGCTGTGGCTAGAGGGCCACCTGGGATTATACTGCATTCCTTTGGAGGAGCTGGTCCAGTAATTGCTGTCGGAGCAAGGGAAACAAAGATATCAAGCTCACCTCCTCATCTGTGCGCCACCCACCTCACACCCGTGAGTGCCAGGCAGCTACCTTTTTAAAGACTTCTGCTCGGAGCCTGTTACTCTGTAGGATTACTCTTTTCTTTTGTTCTTCTTTTTTCTTTTTAACTTCCGGCAAGTTATTATAGATTCTGAAACAGACAGAATACATGATGAGCAACAAGACGGCAGGTGCTGGGGCCAGGGGCCAGCCTCACTTGTCAGCAGGGAGAAGCCCACTGTAAGATACCATCTGAAGAACTTCACCCTTCCCCTCACAGGGCAGGAAACCCTGTGGAAAAGGAGGTAAAGTTTAAGAGCCAGAGGGGATGGAGGACACCAGGAGAATAATCAACTGAGCAAAGCTCGAATGAACTCACAAAGACTGGGGCAGCATGCACAGGGCCTACATGGATCTGAACCGCGTCCTCCACATATATCTTAGAGCTTTCAGTTGAGTATTTTTATGGGACTCCTGAATGTTTGAATGAATGGGTCTCTGCTTCTAGTGCCTTCTCTTGGGGCTCTTTTCCTTCTGTTGGTTTGCCTTGTCCAACTTCCATGTGATGGCTTTTGTTTTATCTGATTATATTTTATTTTGTTAAAAAAGAATAAAGGATAAAAATAAAAATAAGAAGATACAAGTACATTTATGAACCTAACTGAATTCATAGCAGCCTCGAAAAAGGAAGAATTTCTCTGAGGCCCCAGGACAGTCACACTGGGGACAGTGTCTTCAGATGTCTCCTGGGCATTGTAGCAGGCAAACTTGGGAGGCCAGGTATTTACGTGGAAATAATATCTCATCCTGAATTTGCAGTGATGATGACTTTTTAGGGTGATTCCTTGTAAAAGGAGGAATGTTTAACCTACTGGTTTGCCATTCTGAGTCTCAACAATCCCTACATACTCCCATTTTTGCCATCTCATTTTTTACTTTCTGTGATTTGACAAAGAACAGGTGGATGGCAGGAGCAAGAATCATATACTGGGGAAAATGCTTGTTTTTCTTAGTATACAGTGTGTCTGAATAAGCTGATTCTAAATACATTTCAGACTCAAGTATCTTGTCCTGGTCCCCATGTAAAATTAAGAGCTTCTGAGTTGCCAGCACAGCCTAGGGGACCCTTGTCTGGAAGGTTGCTTCCTCCTCCTCAACACAAACTGTTCAGGGATGGGTGCCAACCAATTTTCCTCCAACACAATGGGTTCCCTGCATCCTGAGCCTGTAGGTTGCTAAGCTATACAAGGCACTCAGTTCAAACATCTCTTCTTCATTTTCTCTCAGGTATGAAAGTCAGACAGGAAACATGTGAGATTTCCTGCCCTTAGAAGCATGAATGTCAAGTATAAAAGGACAAGGAAAATGACAGTATCAGTAGGTGACATCTTGTTTGCTGAGCATCAGGCTCATCACCATACATGAATAAACACACTCAATCCTCACAATAGCCAGAAGAGGTACGTATGGGGGCCTGTCATACAACAAGGGACATGAGTTCCAGCAAGATCAAGGGTTTTGGATAGAGCTCCTCCACTGGCTAATGGTGGGCTGGCACTGGGACCTCGAGCTGAATGCTTCTTCCTCACTGAGAAGCACTGTGCCCCAACTACGCTGCACAGAGCTACTCACGAACTCCTGGCATGGGCCTGGAACACTGTTGGTATTAGTGAGGGTTAAGTAAATGTGTGAAAAAAGGAATACATGTTTGCTGCCCTCCAGCGTGATTGGAACCAGGCAAGAAGACCATAAGAGAGCTAGTCCCAAAGCCCTTAAGTGGACAGTTCCTGAGGTCCAGAGACTACCTCTCCTGGAGCTGTCCATCCAACTCCAACTGGGAAGTTGAAACTAAAGCATCTGTGTTCCTGGCCTGCGCTGCTTCCTCAAATGGGATCCCCTGATATATAATTGCAAGGCCCCACAAAAGACACTGTGCAAACAGACAGAAATCTGCATCTTGGGAAAGCTTGCAGATGACGCCCCTCCACAAAATTGAAGAGAGCGCTTTTACTGCAAGGTATGTACAACTTTTCATTTATCAAACAGCAACTCTTCAAATGCAGGGACCCTTTATAAGCCCCGGTTAGAATGCTGGGGGTCATGTCATTAATGGTATGCCCCACTTCTTATTTTCTTACTTTCAAAGAGGTTCCCTGTAGGTAACCAAAGTTCCTTAATTATTGTGGAAACAACATAATCATGGTAAAAGCAGGGATTTAGGGTCTAGAGTGGGGGCAAAATTATTCTTCCTATTTCGTCGGTGTCTCTGAGTGCACTATCAATTTGATTTAATTACTATAATCTCTCCCAGGGCTGGGTACTTTATTACAGCTTAATGACATTTTATGTGTGTGAACATGGCCAACCCTGCTGAGCATTTGTGTCCTGGTTCAGAGGCCAGGTCCAGGAAAGAATGGTAGCCTTTGTGTGCCCCAGGGTTGTGAAGAGTTAGTGGGAGTCTTGGATAGTAACTGGTCAGGCAGAGCAGGGAGAACCCTGGAGGCTGGTGCCAAGATTGCCACAGAGCGACTTGCCAGAAAAGCCAGTTTGTGGCCCCTCTGAGGCCCCTCTGGCTCCCATGCTCCCTCGGCTTCCAGCTTGGAAGCTTTTCCTCAGGACGGCCACAGTCAAGGCCCTCCAGAAAACTGGGTTCTCTCCTCCTCCTCATAAAATTACTTTCAAAGGTGCAGCCGCACATGGCTCCCACCCAGAGCCACGAGGCAAATGCATCGAAGAGTTCCAGTTCAGAATCTGCTGATCACTTAGGGACCAATTACGGGCCCACTCCCGAATCCAAGACCCACCACTTTCCTAAGGTTGGTCCAAGAGCAGCATAAACATTCCGCGGCGCAGTGTGGCAACTTTGCTCACCTCAGCCAGGTTTTCACTTCGGCAGCCAAAAGTACCTCGGCCTTTAAATGTGAGCCTGGAAGCCCTGGCCCAGGGGATGGCATCTGGATCCTTCAAGCCTCTCTCTTGCTCCCCAGCCCTTTCTATACCTCCCATAACAGGCCAAGTACCTTTTAGATCTCATATGCATCTCCTTCTCTGAAATGCATCTTTCTTTGGGTTTGAACAAGTTATCTGGAAGAAACAGAAAGAGGATTAATTTCGGGAGATACAGGATAGCACAACCCTGAGATAGAGCCATAACCTTCTCTGTGATTGCTCCCTCCCCCCAGCCCTAGCCTGTGACAAACACTCTGGGTTTCCAAATGACCAGCCAGTAGCTGGTCTCAACAATAGTTAAACAGGGCAGAGGTGAGACATCAGGATATGTTTTAGTGTCAACTTGACACAACCTAGAATCACTAGGGAAGAACATTTTCATGAGGAATTGTCTAGATCAGGCTGACCCGTGGACATGCCTGTTGGGGCTGTCTTGACTATGAGTTGAAATAGGAAGGCCCACACTGAACAAAACTGACATCATATCATGGCTGAGCTCTGGACATGTTAAGAGCATTGGCTGTTCCTGCAGAGGAGTCGGATTCCCCTCCCAGGACCCACATGATGGCTCACAACCGTTTGTAACTCCAGTTTCTTGGGATCTGATACTTTCTTCTGTCCTCTGTGGGCACTACTCATGCATGGAAGTGCACACACGTAGACAAACACTTATTGCATAAAATAAAAAAATAACTCTTTAAAAAATAGAAAAACCTAGCAAATTATCGTGCGCACAAATAAGCAAGGATCCCTGAATTTATTCTCTGTCTGCTCTTGACTTTGACTTCCTCTAGTAATAGACTGAAGTTTGGAACTGTAACCTTAATAAGCCATTTCCTCCCTTACTTCATTCCTTGACAGGATATTTTACTAGAGCACATGAACTACTGCAGACAGCTGTGTCTCACAAAAAACTTCTTTTAGCAGTAAGAAGACGATAAAAGCTACAAGCATGAGGCCATCTGCTTAAAGGAAAATCCCTACCCGAGGTTTCTGAGGGTTCTCAGGACAGGGAGACCTCCCCAACATCCCTAGAGCATCCTGAAAGAGGAAGGTCTGGCTTCTACCTGACATCCTTCATCAAGAAAACTCAGAGACCATCTCTACGGTGTGGAGGCCCTCTTAGCCTCTCCTAAGCCTGGAAAAGTCATGGGACAAGGCACATACACTAGTACCTTTTGACTAAAAACGTACACAGAGTAGGCAAAAGAAAAATCATGAATTTGTTTTTTGTTTGTTTGGTTTTTGTTTTTAACTTAAGTACATGTAATGGTTAGCTTCAGTTGTCAACTGAACAAAACCAAGTATCAACTGGGAGGAAAGAGGGGCTATTTAGATTGGGTTGCCCTTTGGGCTTGTTTGTGGTGGGTTGTATTAATTATGTTCACTGATGTGGGAAGATCCAGCCCACTGTGAATGGTACCATTCCCTAGCAGAGGGTTCTGAATTGTATAGGAGTGGAGAAATCTAGCTGAGCACTGATAAGCAAGTGAGTGAGCATGCCTGCACGCGTTCATTTCTCTGTGGTCTTGGCTGTGGCTGGGCTATAGGTGGCTGTTTGAAATTCTTGCTTTGATTTCCTCATAGTGATGAACTGTAAGGTAAAATAAACCCCTTTCTTCCTTAAGCTTCTTTTTGTCAGGATATTTTATCACAGCAATAGAAATGCAAGTAGAACAACGTGTGTGTATAATATATATATATATATATTATATTATATTATACACATATACATATTTACATATATATATGTAGAATTTCCTTAACATTGTATATTTAAAAAAACACTTTAAGCCATTTACAATGCCTGAAAAAGCAGTGGCTTTGGAATGCCCACGAGACTCTCAGCCTTAGTTTAGCCAAGGGTATGGTCTGATTAGTTCTCCTAGAGTGCTGTCACAAGGGAGTATGTCTGAGCAGCTGTCATGCTTTCAGGAAATCTTAGACAAGCAGCTCCTGCCTTCACTCAGCACAAGCAGACAGGCTTCCACGGAGGCTCAGGGAAATGGGGCTATTAAGGAATGTCTTCCCTTCTAGACAATAAAACATAGCCACTGATTCAGGGTGGAAAACACCTCTGTAGGCAAGCTTGCACCCTGTCCTACCTGTCTTTAAAGAATATGGCATCATTGTCAATTTCAGAAACAAGAGTCAAGGGAGAAGTAGAAGAGAAAAAAACACAAACATTTCCAGTTAAGGGGGAAAAGACCCCAGTATTCAGAGAGGTGGGGACTGTGAGAGAACAGAAGAGATCACCATATGATTCAGTGAGCCGCAGTTCCTTCTGCTGCCCCACTTTAGCCTCCACTCCAGACGGGACCCCTGGAATTTCCTAGAATGAACAGAGTACCAGCTAAGTGTGTCTGGATCTTGGTCAAGCAAATATGTGCATGTTTGAAGACTTCCCTCAGAGAGAGAGAGGAAGCCCTCCACAAAGTCTCAGACCCACTTTTGGATTAGCATTCTTTAGGAACTACTGGAGGCCCGGTGGAGCCAGGGTGGACAGATGTACCGTGGGGGAGGGGCAGGGAATGAAAACATTACAGAACTTTACTTCTGAGACTTTTCATAATCTCCAATCAACCTTATGTGGTCTAGTCTAGAAATCAGAGGTTCATTTTCTCCTGTGACTGTTTCTTCAGAGCAGCTGATACCGCAATTAAGCTTTGGTTCTATTTCCAAGAGAGAATAAAGGGAAACATGAGCCACCTGAGGATTCCATGCCTCTGTTTTCTGAACTGTTTTAAGCCTGCTATCAGATCCTGGACCCAGCCATTCTTGATGGGCACAAAACAAACAGGTCTGTATCCAAAAAAGCTCAAGGCTCACCCTGGCGGAGGTGGTTGCTATAGATTTTGAGTTTGCTTAATATCAGCGAGCCCCTGTGATAAATGGAATAAGTGATCAGGGCCTCTTGGCCAGGAAAAAAGAAAGAGGCAGAAAGCAGAGGGTCACCTCCCTGGAGGGAGTTAATAAAGTCCACAAATGCGTTCTGAGTGGCTCCCACCTCACTAGAGAAGAAAGACTCCACCTGTCTTGGACAGTGTCTCAGTTTCACCTCTGTTGCTGTCATAATGCTGACAAAAACAAACTTAGAGGGAAAGGGGGTCTGTTTGGCTTAGTTCCAGGACAGTTCATAATTTCAGGCAAGAATTTGAGGCAGCTAATCATATTCAGAGTCAAAAGCAGAGAGAGAGAAGAAATAAAGGCATGGCTGCTTACTGCTCAACTAGATTTCTCTATTGCTACATGGAGGCCCTAAACTCAGGAATGATATCATCAACTCTCAGGCTGGGGCTTTTAATACCAATTAAGACAATCCTACAAACACACACACACACACACACACACACACACACACACACACACACTCTCTCTCTCTCTCTCTCTCTCTCTCTCCTAGTCTAGATAAATCCTCACTTAGACTCTTCACCTGGTGCTTCTTAGTTGTAATAAGTTGACAAGCTATCAAAAATGTCCTTTGGCAGTTGTGAGGAGAAGTGTCCAAGATATATAGAGAGGGGGGCTTTGGGCATCTGAGTGGTCACAGCGATTCTGTCTGCTCTGGCAGAAATTTCCCTCTGTGATGTCAGTCTTCCTCCCAACCCTTCAACATGTTCATGATGTTTTGCCTTTTAGGGCTGTTCATTAGTTTTCAAAGGGTGAGTTTTTTTTTTTACCTGCTCAGGTGTACTGTATATGAGTGAGAGGCAGAACTGGGTTTCTGACACTGTTGGCCTGGTGCCAACCACATGTACTCTTCACCTCCAAACACTGCGTGTGGCTACAGAATCTACTTTTTTTGAGAACTACAAACAAGGGTTCTTCCATTTCTCAGGAGATCAATCCCAAATTCATTTCCCAAACACTCCTTCCTTTTCCAGCTCTTCACAGACATAGTGTGATTCATGGGGGATTCATTTTATGGGATACATTATGAACATGTCTCTCTGAATACGTGGTGGCTCTTTTGGAGGTGGGGCCTTGCTGGAGGAAATGGGATGCTAGCGGGCTGGCCTTGAAATGTCTATAGGTTGGCTTCACTTCCTTGTGGGTCTCTCCTTCCTGATCCACCCGGATAAAAGCAAACCACCTCTTATTCTTACCACCACAGCTGTGAGGTGCTTCTGCTGACATGCCTCCTTCCCACCCCCATGAGGGCCTGCATTCTCCAACTGAGAGCCAGAATAAACCCTTCTCTCTTAGGCTGATTTTTCAGCCATCTGGTCACAGCTGTGAGAAGCCTCCTCACCTGTATGTGCTTTGCTCAAAGATATGGGGAAATCCCGTGTGCTCGTGCCTGCTTACAGAAATACTACTTTTATAAAACTGAGGGACTGGTGAGAATCATTTCAACCTCCTGGAGCCTTTAAGGATTTTCTTAGAGTTGCATATATTCTGGCTGCTTTGGAGGAAAGAGACTACAATTACACTTACCCTATTACCATTCAAATGGAGAGGCCTTTTCTTTAATAAAATTACCAGGGTAAGCTGCATCTACACATCACACCACACACACACACACACACACACACACACACACACACACACACACACCGCGTCCTTCTGACTTCATTTGGCAAGGCCAGGCTTCCTTAATTCCCCGCCTGTTTCAAAGTCAGCAAGCAACTAGGTACCAAGTCCTCCAAGCTTCTGAGGCTGCTCTTGTAAAAGCCAAGTCCCCAAATCCCATTAATTTGTATAAACAAGGGTCGGTATTTATTACAGTCTCTACGTCAATTATGTGTGAGAGCACATATGGGGTCCTGTGGCCTCAGCATGCAGCCTCTTGACATGTCAATAGGAAGCAGCCAAGACCACCCTGATGCCAGCACAGCTGGTTGGCTGGGAGCTTGAGTTCTTTCCCTCCTGCAAACCTTTACAGCTCCCACAGGATGGCAAAGCCTCACCTTCCCCCTGCAGTTGTCTATGTGATAATCAACCCGACAAGGTCCATCCCAACAATGTTCTCCCAGGAGCCTTTCTTTGGTCTCCCTGAGCTCTTGAAAGAACAACGTGTTAGACATTTGCTTCTCCTGAGAAACACTCATACTAAGTCCTGCCTGTTGGAGCACATCAGAGCCAATAAGTTGCCTGGGGAGTGGAATCTTGATCTGCACCTTCTTAAATCTTCT